GAGATTAAAGAGGAGCCAACAAACATAGAGAATCCTGTTGTTGATCGGCGACTATCTTGACATGAAGCCCAATCAGAATCAGCATATCCTTTAAGAGTGAGGTCAGAGTCCGATGAATAGAACAAACCTTGGCCAACAGTCCCTTTAATATATTGCAGAACCTTATAAACTGCAGTGAGATGTGCAGTCCTTGGAGCTGAGGAAAACTGGCAGAGTTTGTTCACAGCAAAAGTTATATCCGGACGAGTAATCGTCAAATACATAAGTCGTCCCACAAGACTTCTATATTGCTCCTTGTTATCCAAAAGCTCACCATCAGTCTTTGATAACTTGAGATTTGGAATCATAGGAATAGAAGACGGTTTACAAGCTAGCATACCAGTGGATGCAAGTAACTCCAGGGCATACTTTCTTTGACAAATTGATATACCTTCAGATGTTCTTGCTATTTCCAACCCCAAGAAGTATTTGAGTGGACCTAAATCCCTCAGTTTGAAACTAGCTTTTAAAGCATCTGTTAATTGTGTTGCAGCACCTTCTGTTGTGCTTGCAATGACAATGTCATCCACATAAACAAGAATAGCAAGGAAATCAGACCCACTGCACCTGACAAATAAGGTATGATCTCCATGTCCTTTGATAAAACCCATCTTCAACAAACACTCAGAGAACTTCAAAAACCACTGCCTGGAAGCCTGCTTTAAACCATAAATAGATTTCTTAAGGCGACAGACTGCATTCTTGGGAAACAAGTCCCCCTTACTCTCTGCATACCCTTCAGGCAACCTCATATATATATCCTCCTGCAAATCTCCATTTAAGAAAGCATTAGATATGTCAAGCTGAGTCAGAAACCATTTCTTAGAAGCTGAGATTTTCAAAAGCAACTTGACTGTAGCCATTTTAGCAACCGGAGAGAAGGTCTCATTGTAGTCTAAACCCTCTTTCTGAGTGTATCCCTTGGCAACAAGACGCGCTTTGTATCTTTCCAAACTTCCATCAGCAAGAAACTTCAATGTGAAAACCCATTTGCATCCAACCGCTTTCTTTCCCGGAGGTAAACTAGTAACTTCCCAAGTATCCGTATCTTCCATGGCACCAATCTCTTTATCAATTGCATCACACCATTCCTTGGTATTCTTTGCCTCAGAATATGATTGAGGGATTGGAATTTGAGTAATATGATTTATGTATGATAGATGAGATGGAGTGATTTGTGAATAAGAGAGAGATGATGAAATGGGATAAGTGACTTCAGTGTTTAGAGAATAACAGTGATAATCTTTGAAATGAGCAGGAAGTTTTCTAGCTCTTTGTGGAGAAATTTGTGTTGATGGAGAAATTTGTGGGGGAGGAGATGAGAAAATGGTACCTGAAGGCAAAGAATCCTTTGGTATGAGCAATTCTGAAGATAATTCTGACTGTTTCTCTTTGGCCATGGGAAACACATCTTCACAAAACTCAACATTACGGGAAATGAAAACCCGATGACTTTCCAAATCCATAACCTTATAGCCTTTGTAGCCTGCAGGGTAACCCAAGAAGATACAAGCTTTGGACCTAGGCATGAACTTGTGACGCTGTTTTGGTGAAGTGGAACAATAGCAAAGACAGCCAAAAGTACGTATTTGATCATATAGAGGCTTCTTACCAGTGAGAATCTCAAATGGAGTCCTGTTTGAAAGCATTTGTGATGGTGTTCTATTAATGAGGAACACAGCCGTCAAAATGCAGTCACCCCAAAGAGATAAATCCACCTGAGATTGAAACATTAGTGATCTTGCAACATTAAGTATATGTTGGTGTTTTCTTTCAACAACCGAATTCTGTTCAGGTGTCTCGGGACATGAATGGTAAGAGACGATGCCTTTAGCCTGATAGAAGTCGGAGAACTTTAATTCTTGTGCATTGTCAGAACGTACAGCCTTTACTTTCGCATTAAACTGATTCTCTACTTGATTGATGAATGCAGGGAAAACAGTTAAAACCTCTGATTTTGATTTGAGCAGATAAACCCAAGTAGCTCTGGAGTGGTCATCTACTATGGTTAAGAAATATTTAAAACCTTCCAAAGTTTCCACTGAAAATGGTCCCCAAATGTCGATATGTAATAACTCAAAAGTTGAATTACATATATTGTTTGAAGAAGGAAAGGACAACTTCTTTTGTTTAGCCAAGTGGCAAACATGACAATAAGATGATCCCTTATTCTTATGCCTAGTAGTCCCCAAAGCCTCTGATATTGCATCCAATCTTGAATAAGACGGATGACCAAGCCTCTTGTGCCATACATTAATGTCCACCACCGCATTGACCAAGACTGAAGGAGGAGGAACTGTATCAAGCACATAGAGATTCCCAAGGCGTCTACCTTTTCCAATGGTCGATCCCCTGGTAAGATCCTGTATTTCACAACAATGTGGATCAAAAATCACTCTGGAGCCAAGAGAAGTTGTCAAGGAGCTGATACTGATAAGATTCAAGCGGAATTCAGGTATAAACAGAACATTTTGAAGTTGTATGTCTGTAGTAAGCTGAATAGTTCCCACTCCACTGATCTTAACAGTAGGGCCTGTAGGAAGATTCACATAACTCACAATAGAAGTATCAATGGAGATAAATAACTTTCTATCATGAGAGACATGATGAGTAGCACCAGAGTCTACCACCCATGTCTCATTGGAAAGAGTATGTTGAGCAACATTCAGAATTCCAATAAAACAATAGGTAGAAGGAGAAAATGAGATACCAGAGTAATCAACTGCAGCATGAGAAGGACCTGCATCATTTGTAGAAACTGTGGAAGAAGGCTGTAACTTATCACTGAAGAAAGCAATGAAATTCTGAAGTTGATCTTTAGACAGGTTACCAATCAAGCTCTCAAGATTGGGATTCTGAGCAACAGGTGGAGGAGATAAAGCAACCTGAGCAGCAATGATAGGTGGTTTCTGAAGCTTGTCAGGTATTTTTCCCTTAAAACCTGGTGGATAGCCATGCTTCTTATAGCACCTCTCAGCAATGTGTCCAACTTTGTTGCAGAAAGAGCAGATAGGACGACCCTTATTTGGTCCTTGCTGCACATAGCAAACCATTTGTGGATCACCAGAAGAGTCATCTATAACAGAAGCAATCTTTGAAACCTGAAAAGCAGCTGGCTGAGCAACAACTGGAGAGAAATTCTTCTGACTGTCATCTTGGTCAAGAATGTTGTAAACTTCCACCAAAGAGGGAAGAGCTTTCTTAGAAATGATCTGTCTTCTGACAATTGCATAAGATTCATTCAGACCTGCCAAGAATTTAACAATTTTACCTCTCTCAGCTTTCTGTTGTAGTCTGGCTGCCTTACCACAAGTGCAAGGTTCATCTAAAGCTTCTGCACTATCAAGATGATCCCAAAGGATTTTCAGTTGAGTAAAATAGTCAGACAGAGACATGGTACCCTGACGAAGATCCTGAATCTCCTGTGTGAGATTATACGTACGTGGTAAGTTGGTCATATGAAATCGACCATAAATATCACTCCATATAGAACTCGCATCACCTATACGCAAGATACTGCGATAGATCTGAGGAGAAACAGTGTTTAAAATCCAGGACTTAACCATGCTGTTGCATCTGGACCATACACGAAAATGTTTATCTGATTCTAGAGGACGTGGCAAACTACCATCAATAAAACCAGATTTGTTCTTCGCATCAAGAGCAATAAGCATAGCAGTACTCCAATCATCAAAGTTTGTACCGTCTAAGCGATTAGAGACAAGGATCAAACCTGGATGATCAGCGCTATGCATAAAAAATGGAGAATGCGTCGGATCCATCAAATCTGGTAGTGGAACACCTCCGGAAGCTTCAGAAGCTTGAGAAACAGCAGCGGTAGGAGAGATCGGAGGAGAAACAACCATACCAGTAGATCGAGACGCTTTTCGTGAGACGGAGCTCGTCGACACCTTCGCACGAGCTGATTTTCGAGTAACGCGAACCCCAGGCACCATCGAAACCTTGATAGAACGATGATGAAGAAGGATCGAAGAAGAAAACAAAGATCAGATCGAAAAACTAGAGGAATTTTGAGCTGGATGGCTCTGATACCATATTACGATCTGAGATTGAAGGAGAGAGACGGTGGAGAGTTTGTTAGAAACTTTCTTATTTCTTTCCTTAAGGAATAAAAGCTGTACAATGTTCTCTTATATACAAGTATTCTAACTTAACCAAAGAATGAAATTAAGCTATACATTGTGCTATACCAACTAAACCGAAGTAAACCAAAGCTAAGAGGATCTATACTCCAATAATCGTTTCATTTTATATAGAAATATATGGATAAAACATATGATAAAGATGAATTTGAATATTGTTGATTAAAAAAAAAAATTTGAAAACTATTTTTGTAATTCTTATAATTTTTTCTATCTCAAAATAATATTCAATTCTATTCAAATGGTTGTAATTGTGACTTTAAAAGAATTTAAAGATAAAGATTGGCTATGAAGACAAAAAATGGGCTATGAGATTATAAGGAGCTTAATTAATAAGAACAAACAAAATGAACGGTGAGAAAAATTAGCTTAATATCTTTAAGGCTATTAGATTATTAAAGTATGATTAGAGGAAAATTAAATTTTAAAATATTTCAAAGGAAAAGTTAAAATCTTTATCAAATACTAGATTGAAGTGAAAACATTAAATTGAACGTAGTGTTGGAAAGACAAAGGAAAAGGAATGGAGAGGCTTCCACAAGTGAAAGTAAAAGAGGGGGAAGAAGGAGAGATAAATGAAGAAGTGGTAAATGTAACATTAAGAAGAAGTTTGAGATTCTACTCAATACTTCAATCACAAGATGGGTTTTGGCCTGGTGATTATGGTGGCCCTTTGTTTCTCTTGCCTGCTCTGGTAATTCTCTAAATTAAATCTTAGAGATAAGATGTATATGGGAAAGTTATGATACATATAAATTAAAAGCTTATAAATGAAAATTTAGCATATAGATATTAGATATCATTCATAGAAGAATCTTCGAAGTGATAATTTTTAGTAATAGATATAACACAAAAAGAAAATGTAATGGTACACTAAACAGTACAAGGTTTTGAAAAGCTTATGATAAAGTTCTTACAAAACATACACCGATAATGATTTTGGCCGCAGGTGATCAGCTTATATGTGACAGAAGTTTTAGATGCAACTTTAACTGCTCAACATCAAATCGAGATTCGCCGTTATCTCTATAACCATCAGGTTTCACACATCACTCACACCAAGAAAACATATTGATAGAACTAATCTTTTTGTTGGTAAAAAAATCTTATGCAAAAATAAATGCCCTAACTTGCACAATAAATAACGTGTAGAACAAGGATGGAGGATGGGGGCTACACATAGAAGGGAGTAGCACCATGTTCTGTACGGCTCTCTCATACGTAGCACTAAGACTCATGGGGGAAGAAATGGACGGTGGAGATGGAGCCATGGAATCAGCTAGACGTTGGATTCACCACCGTGGTGGTGCCACCTTTATTCCCTCTTGGGGCAAGTTCTGGCTCTCCGTACGTTAACAACAACACAATCTTGTACTGGTTTTGCGGCGAATCACTTAATGAATTTGTGAGTTTATATAAAACAGGTTCTTGGAGCTTATGAATGGAATGGGAACAATCCTTTACCTCCAGAGCTATGGCTCCTCCCTTATAGTCTTCCATTTCATCCAGGCCGAATGTGGTGCCATTGTCGGATGGTTTATCTTCCAATGTCATATCTATACGGAAGAAGATTTGTTTGTCGCACTAATGGAACTATTTTGTCCCTTCGACGAGAGCTCTACACTGTTCCTTATCACCATATCGATTGGGACACCGCCCGTAATCAATGCGCCAAGGTAGAATCAATTTGCTTTAGCTTGTACTATATAAATGTATAGTACTTAATATATAAATGTAGGAGGACTTGTACTATCCACATCCAAAGATTCAAGACGTGCTTTGGAGTTGTCTGAATAAATTTGGAGAGCCTCTTCTTGAAAGATGGCCATTGAATAAGCTAAGAAGCCTGGCTCTTCAGACAGTGATGCAACACATTCAATATGAAGACCAAAACAGCCACTATATTTGTATCGGTCCTGTCAATAAAGTAGGTTATACATAGAGCTTATTCTCAATGCTCTAGTTATGACCTTAAATTACTATTTTAGTATTTTTGGCTAACAATATGTTGGTTTGGTATCGGATTTAAGGTCTTGAATATGCTTTGTTGTTGGGTCGATTCCTCAAATTCCGAGGCATTTAAATCTCACCTCTCGCGGATTAAAGACTACTTGTGGGTGGCTGAGGATGGAATGAAAATGCAGGTACATTATCATTCTTCTATTTCTTTTCTTTTAGCCCACTTGAACAACATTTCATGTGTATATAATGTCCATATAGGGATACAATGGATCTCAGCTGTGGGACGTGACTTTAGCGGTCCAGGCAATCTTGGCGACGAATTTGGTTGATGAGTATGGTTTGATGCTTAAAAGAGCGCATAACTACATCAAGAACACTCAAGTAGTTTGTTCACTTAACCCTCTACACCATTCTCTTGTGATCTGAAAATTTCATTGATATCTTGATTCCTATATTGAAACAGATAAGGAAAGACACTTATGGAGATCCCGGGTTGTGGTATCGACACCCATGCAAGGGAGGATGGGGTTTCTCCACTGCAGACAATCCATGGCCTGTTTCTGACTGTACTGCTGAAGCCTTGAAGGTTACTTACCTAAATTTGCAACTCTTACACTTTTTTTTTTGTTTATCTCCTCATAATTTTTTTCAACAAGATAAAGAGATAAGAAAATTTCTTGTTATAGGCGGCGTTGCTACTGTCACAAATGCCGGTTAATTTAGTTGGAGAACCCATGCCTGAAGAACATTTAGTTGATGCTGTCAACTTTATCTTATCATTACAGGTATATTTTCTACATTTTCATATATATTTGTATTATACAATTGCTATAAGCTTACTTCTTCCAGAACAACAATGGGGGATTTGCGTCGTACGAGCTTACTAGATCATATCCTGCACTAGAGGTTAAACCATTTCTTCCTTGTTATGTTCATATTCAAGACAAGATAAGTGGACTCTGATTTTATTTAATATGGTGACTACATATGCATATTAGGTGATCAATCCATCAGAGACTTTTGGGGATATCATCATAGATTATCAGTAAGATGAGAACTAGTATTACCTAAATTTCATTTTAGACAACAGTTTCTTGTTGATGAAGGATGAAAAATCCACAGATACGTAGAATGCACGTCAGCTGCAATCCAAGGTCTTGCATTATTCACAAAGATCAATCCAACGTACAAGAGGAAAGAGATACAAATATGCATTAACAAAGCAGTTGAGTTTATTGAAAAAACACAACTTCCGGATGGTTCATGGTCAGTACTCAGTAGTTAGTCTTTACTTTGATACATGATGTGGTTTTTAAGCTGATAAATTGTTAGGTACGGCTCGTGGGGAGTGTGTTTCACCTATGCGACATGGTTTGGTATTAAAGGGATGTTGGCTGCTGGCAAAACATATGAGACCAGTCTTTGTATTAGAAAAGCTTGTGGTTTCTTGCTCTCCAAACAACTTTGTTGTGGTGGATGGGGAGAGAGCTACCTTTCTTGCCAAAATAAAGTATACACCAATCTTCCAGGGAACAAATCGCATATCGTGAACACATCATGGGCAGTTTTGGCTCTCATTGAAGCGGGACAAGTGAGTTTCATCCTTCTCTATAGAACCTTTTTGGTTTAAGCATTTTAGATGCAAGGGGTTACTTAATCCATATTTTGGGTTTGAATAGGCTAATAGAGACCTGATGCCATTGCACCGCGGGGCAAAATCGCTAATCAACTCGCAGATGGAAGACGGAGATTACCCTCAACAGGTGAGTAAAAATGGTATACAGATATTCATAGACTGGTTTTGTTTTCACCAATCTAATTTATTATATTTGCTTCTTAATTTTTGTTCAGGAGATATTGGGAGTCTTTAATCGGAATTGTATGATCAGTTACTCAGCTTATAGAAACATATTCCCTATTTGGGCTCTAGGAGAATACCGCAAACTCATGTTGTCTTCCTCTGTATAAACAACTACTTAAGTTTATCTATGTCAAAAATAGTAGAGTTAAATAAATGAATTAAAAAAATGAGAATAATTATGTGTTTGACACCTAAGCACCAATGACTCTTTTTTATATATAGAGGATAAATTAGTTAATAAGAATAAATAGTATATGGAATGAAAAGTGTTTGGCAACAAGAATAATATCATTTAAAAAAAAAAAGATGAGAATAATTGTGTGTTTAACACTTAAGCACCGATGACTCTCTTTTAATATATAGAGGATTAGTTTTCACCTAGACTCTTATATCATTTTTCTCTTTCCAAATTAATGGACTTAAAGATGAACATTCAAAACTGAACTGAATCCAAAACAAATTAATTAACTCTTGTTACTATTATTCATCTTAAATTGAGAAACATGAAGAAACAAAAATAATAGCAGCCAAAATAAAACCAAACTAAGTTTTTTTTTTTGTTTTTTTTTTTTGTTAAAGCAAACTCAAACCCTAGTTGAACAAAAAAACATCTATAATGCAGATAATTATTCTCGAGGGTGGAGGACATAGATTAATTTATTCAGCCGTCCCCATCCCACCTTATCAAACAATGGTTAAGGATGCAGTTGTTGATGAGGCACCGGTGATCGTACCATAACAGGTCTATTTTGATTCACTAAGAAATGCCCATTTTCTCTCATATATTTTGCCTGGAAACTAGCTGAAGGACCAAACTCGGTCATTCTAGCAGCCGGAAGTAACAGTCCAAACGCTGATGGTTATTTTGCTTTTAGAAATGAATTTGGGAGAATAATTCTTTTACTTTTTCGTGTGTAGGATATTTGCACTAAATAGATACATTAAAAATACAATTTGTTCCATAAATGTTATGTTCAATATGATAAAAGTATTATGATATTACTCATAACCCATGAATTGACTTATGAATCCATTATAGTCAAAGCTCATAGAGCCCATCAATCTTATCCTAACGGATTGTTTTGGGTTGGGTCGACCCATGCATTTTGATGCATTTTGATCCGTTTTGACATCTCTAAATCGTAGCTATTTGCCTTAATATGCTACTAGGATCGGACCCGGACGTACGTCCGGGGTTATGATAACATAGTATTTTCTGAATAAGTAATTTATGTCATTAGGTTGTGTGTGTTTGTTTGGAAAACAAAATTTGGTATGACTATGTAAATGTGATTATATTTGAGAGATGACATTATTGAATAATATGGTATGGTAAATCAATCTAAGTGGTATTTAAAAGATGTATGTGCGTAGAGTATGTATAAAAAATAATTGGGTTTGGAGGGGTTACATTTGGTAATAATAAATAAAAGATGTATTATATATTCAATAGATAATAATAGATAATTTAAAAAAATGTGATAATCTTAAAAATGTAATTTCCTATGTATAACTTAAGTATTTATAATTTAGTACCGTTCTTATTACAAATTTAAAAATTATAGAGGCCCAAAAAACTATAATTAATTAATTTTAGTTAGGCCGAGTTATTTATATTATATGTTTTTGAAAACAAAATTGTTGGGCCAAATGTTATGTTAGCCCATGTAACTTGCGGATTTTATAAAGTAGTATGTGTTGTTTGTACGTATTAATTCTTTCCTAAATTGAAGTTTGAAATATTAACACAATGTAGTCTTTTTTTTTAATAAATAATATTCCTAAACAGTTGTCAAATATAATGCATGATATAGTTAATAAATGAATAATATAGAATAGAAATTGAATATTACACAGATGCAAAATAACTGCCTTGCATAATTCCAGATATACCACAAGTTCAAGAGTTAAAAAAATAACAGAAATAGGCAAGACATTAATTTGGATAAAAATCCAAAGTAACAAACGGGTAAGTACAATGGATTCTCAAACATTTTTTCTTCCAGACTCAGTCGTGGATGCTTCATTTTATTTATTTTTTGTCATCACATTGTTGAGATAATAACGACCAGCAAATTCGCATCTGAGATAATAAATAATTTTTAGTTTTGATGATCAAATGAAGTAAAATGCTACATAAAAATTTTCATTAACTTTAAAAAACTCACTTTGTTATGTGATTAGTAAACTCACTTTAAGTAACATATTTTTCAGGCCTAATATTATATTTTAAATAGAAATAATAAATTCAAATTAAATAATTAAAACAAAAGTAAGGAAATAAAATCTGTGATAATATTTGTTAACGTCGTCTTCCCGCTCAACTACTCATTTTTTGTTTTACTTATTGATTTAGATTAGGGTTTTGATGTTTATCTTTTTTTTTTTTTAGTCAAACATATCATTAGAATTCCTATATAAAAAAGATCGACAATCTCTTTGGTAAAATACTTATTTTTCATTAATAGAATTTGCAGAATTTGATCTCTTCTTCCTTGATCTTGGAATTAATCTACAAATTAACAACCTCAAAATATAAGATAAAATGCAAATATTAATTAAAAATAATTTTTTGCTAGCAAGTCTTTCACGTGCAAAAACATGGAATCTATATCCATGGATGCCAAAAACAATGAAAAATTTTTTGAATCCAGAGGGATACATCGATCATGATTATAAATATATATGTTCAATATTAGACTCATTCATATCAGTTTTTATATTCAGTGATTTCTTCCCCTATTATTTTGGTTGGTAATATATCTTACATTTGCTGATTTGGAGCGTATGGTAACCAGTTTGATCATATAGCACAAAGTACCAATTTCTTCTATTTTCTGATGATGCTGAAACTTAGGAAAATTTAGTTTCTGACCTTTGCATTGTTATTAATTAGAAGAATGTTCAAAGAGAGAAAAAAAAATGTTCGAAGAGATAAATACCAAAACTCTAATAAAAATCTCTTTTTGAAAAATATATACATATATAAACGAAAAGGAGTATTGATGAGAAGACGTCACGGAACGTCAACGATTTTATTTTAATTTCATTTTTTTAATTTTCATTTTTATCTTTGTTTAAATGTAATATTACATTGCACATTTTTATTGATTAAACTTAGAGGAAATGAATAAAGGAGTTTCAAACCTAAAAGAATTTTATTATTGAAGCATAAGAATCCATTTATAATCCGAATAAAAAACCAGAGCAACACAACCCAAACTTTAACACGAACAAATAAAAAACTAAAAGGCCTACGATGTCTAGCTATTAGTTCTTCCATATGCCGTGGAGAATCATAGTTTTGGCTGTATTCCTTGTGTTTTGTAATCTTTTAACTGCAAAGGAAAAACAACTTTATAAACTAAGGTGTATAAAAAACCATTAACGTCATATTTTGTCATGTCCAAATATAACTTCTATTAAAAATACAAACCTGAAGAGCTTTTATAGCTTGTGCGTTGCAGTTTACATGTTACCTTGGCTTGTGGCTTCAATCCTATATTGATATAGATATAAGTAATACATATAAGTAATGTTTTCATGTAAATCAGAGACATAAACATTTGAAACAAACAAAACCATTTTTTTTTTCTTTTTCATATACCTGATCGCCTTGGGAGAACACACCAAAGTGCTACCATGTGGTAGCATCGCCAATATCTAAGAACAAAACCATTTTTACACCACAATGATTTCTCATTTAATTAGAACAAAAAAAAATCAAATAAACAAAAGACTATATACATGCTTTTCATTTGGTTAATGAAGTACCTTTTCATCTGTTAAAAAATTATTAAGTTGACACATGTTAGGAGAAACAAAAAAAAAAGTATTTTAGTGGAACTAAATAAATAGATTAGAAAAATCTGACCATTCTCCTTTAGTCATAAAGCTCCCAATATTCTTCACATATTCTTGTTTCAGTCCAAGCTAAATTTTAGATACCTACAATCACACAAAGTAAATAGGCATTATCAATCAAAAAATTTATAAGACAATAAACAGAAAAGAGATAACATGTGAATTAAGCAATGCGGAATATATATGAACATGGCTAAAGAATGAAACTAAACAAATGAATTAGAGAAAGAGGCTTGTCGATAGAAGCACTATTTATACACAAAAATCTGTAACGATTTAGGTTTTTTTACAAAATATTTCATCATTAAAACATATATTTAAATATAGAAGATTTTCTCAATATTTATGGTTCCTACAATTGCTAAGAAAGATTTTGTTAGTAATTTAGGTAAATATGATCATTTTTCAATTTTAAAACATATAGAATATTTACGGAAACGAAAAAATGTAATTTAAGGAAATAATCTATATTTTTGGTAGGAATATAAGGAAAGAATATTATTTGAATAGATTTTTACTCCGAATTTTTTTTGTTAAGATTGCAAAAACTATTGGATTATCCTTAAATTATTTTAAAATATGGTAGTTAATGACACTACATTTTCGGAAAGTAGTATATTTTGTTAACTTGTTGGTTGTTAAATTTGCGTAACACATGGCATTTGAATTTAAATCTTGCAAGATACCCGATGTATAAAACTATTTTCTCGAAATATATAAATACACGTAGACAATCCTGATTCCGAATATGTAAACCGCTAATGGAACGGATTAGAACACTATCCAAACAAAACCTTATTAATCTCACGTTAAAAAAAAATTAGAAGCTGATTAGGTGTGTTTGGATACACCCTCTATAGTAAGGGCAAAAATGGAATGTTTTTTGAAAAATTATAGGCTAAAATCGTTTTTGTGCTGCCGCTTTAATATAATAGATATTTTATCCAATGCTTCCTAATTAATAGTATAAATCTACACTATTAATATCATAAATTTTTATAGATTGGTAACATCGTTGATAAATATTTCTCGTTGCAAAATTGTAATATCGTTGATAAATATTTATAATTTTAGTATTTACCAACCCGCAAATATTTAATTTTATTTAAAAACATATTATTTCTATTATTAATTTAGTTTAGTTGCTAATAATTTAACGTTTACATCTATACTATTAATTGTTTACATATTACGATTTGACAAAAACAAAATATTAGATGGAATGTATGTCGCATATTTTTTTGGCTATGTACTTAATTTGTTATATTTGGTAAATGAGAAAATATTGGAATATATTTATAACATAAATATTATTACTTAGATTTTACTGTTAAAATATTTTGTATTTTTCAATTAATGACATTCGATTTATGTTGAATTTTTTGGTTTTATCTCTAACAAATTGAAAAATACAAATTCGATTTATCTTCGAAATAAATATATATTGATGCTGAATATTCATTTATTATTTAATATTTAATGTTGTTTCTTTTTTTATTTTTGTAGAAAAATCATACCAAAAATATTGACGAAGCAAATCTCGGAATATATTGGATCATTTAATCCCGTTATTTGTTTTTGCAAAAAATTAATGAAGGATCCGAATCAAATATATTTATTTAGTTGTAGTAATTGTTTATTTACTAAATTGCCCATGTAAAAATTCATTTAGTTAATCTTAAACTACCCTCACAATGTTGTAGTTCATAAAATGCTTCCCAATTAATAGTATAGATTCTTGGAAAAAATATACTAGATACTATATTTATTTTTGTAATCTAGAATTTTTGGGCCGAAATCCATACATCTCCCTAAGCCCAGACCAGTCTTTATATTTTTATTTGTCCCAACTGCTACTCGATCATGTGACCTCTTAGAATTTTTCAGGGTATCTTTCCAATCGAGCTATCGACCTCTAGTAATTCTAAAAGATATTATTTAGCACAAATAGCTAGACTGTTGGCCATCATCTTTGTAGATCTGTTCCATGGGTTTGGAGTTTTTCCTTTTTAATCAAAATACACTCTAATCTTTGAATCAAAGTCTCTACAATTAGACTCCAATCATATTAATTTAATTACTTTTAACTCTCATCCTTTACTCTTTCAAAATTAATAGAAGAGATTGGAAAAAAATGAAAGTTAACTAAATCCAAAACAAATTAAATTTAGTTACTACTATTATTCATCTGAACAGCATAAAGAAACAAAAATGCAAATAGCAACCAAAATCAAACCAAATCTAGTTGAACATAGAGACATCTCTAACGCCTATCATTAGTCACGAGACGGGACATAGGCTTGCTCAGAATTCCCCATCTCCACCTTATTAAACTCATCAAACAGTGGTTGCGGTTGCGGTTGCGGTTGCGGTTGCGGTTGCGGTTGCGGTTGCGGTTGCGGTTGCGGTTGAGGCACTGATGGTTGTAGCATAACAGATCTATTTTGATTAACCATCAAGTGCCCATTTTCCCTCATATCATTCGCCGGAAATACCAATCCATGATGACCTGTAATATTCTCTCGGCGATGGCTGACAACACCACTTGTGTCCACATAATGGACAGAGTTATCGATAGTACAATTGTAATTGTTATGATAAACAACACCACTTGTGTTTGTATAATGGTAATTGTTATGATTACCAATATTCATATATGAGTGGATGAATTCATTGGAGGTGTCATTCGAGGTGTTGTTCACACCGTGGCCCGTGGCAGCGAAGATGGCTGGCTCAGCATTACGAAGGAGCCAACCAATGGTTTCACCGTCAGTCTTGAACCCTAGCTCTTGTGTCAACTGGAAAATTTTGGAGGCACAGCTCACCGGAAGCCGGATGCGATTGCTACGGTCCTTGGATGATGTTGGAGTTCTCTTTCCCTTTCGCTCAATGTTGTTTTTGTTATTTTTTGAAACCATTTCTTCTCTAGTTTTTTCTTTTGTAAGTGTAAGTTGAAAACTAATTTCTTGTACATGATTTATATAGAAAATTTACGTAAGAAAAATACAAAGTACTTAATATGTTATATATGGAAAACAATAATTGCGTAACTAACTCATAAATAAAAATTATAAGTTTTAAAATTGTATATGCAAAAAAGGAAAAAAAATAGTCAAAGTTTACAATTTATATTGGAAAATTTAAATGATAGGTCCACTTAGTAATGGTAATTTTGAGGAAAGAAATCTAAACACTTTACTGACAATAGACAGCTAATATATTTCTACATTGTATTACACAATATTCATGCACCTTATCTTGTTTATATTTTATATTAATTAGCTTATGACTTTTTATAGAGTGGATGGTAACTCCAGATTTCTTTCCTTATATTTTTTTTATCACCATTTATAGCTATGAATTTTTTTATAAGAATCATTAATTGATTAAAATAACATATTTGGTATTATAAGTTTTTCTCAAACACATAATGTTTAATTAAACAATAATGAACAAATAGCACCAAAAAAAAATTGATATGACAATACATATTATACACATAGTAAAACATATAAATTACTATGATTTACAAATAATAACATTTTAATGGTTGTTTTTTCTCAAACCCCTTTTTGCTTTTGTAAATGTTATTATAACTTATAAGTGTGATAATATTTCCTTGTAGTTAGTTTCTACAGGAGATTACTACATATCTATACTAGTATTTTTGCAGTCATTTTGGTGACGGGTGGGTAAAAATGCTCCCGAGTTATTTGGATACCCGACCCGTTTACAAATTTTGGTCATAAAAAATTTGTTGGGTCGGGTTATATTTAACCCAACTCATACACCGGATATTCTATATTTAATAATTTATATATTTAGAAGATTCGATTAAGATTTAGAATTATGATTCTCCTATCATCTTTGTTTGATTTGTTTTTAACTGTTTTGAATTATCATATAATACATAAAGTAAAAAAAATCAAAAAAATTTCTACATATATTGTGATTCGAAATTTTAAAAACGTCCAATTGACGAAAATGTGTGTTCAACGTTCTACATCGATTAAAATATTTAGAAAATGATTCAGAATCATATCATAAATAAGATCAACATTAATAAAATAAATGAGTATTTTGGCCGGACGGGTTTGGCGGGACGGGTTTTTGAATCAACAATAATAAAAAGATTAAAATATCATTAATCCGTCGCTTCAATACGGATTAAATCCTTAATTTTTTTTAATATCACCAATATTAGACATATTAAATCAGTCTCATTTAGAAAAGATTTTATAAAACCAAAAATTGTCCTGTGGTATAATGTTACTTAATAACAATTGTAAACTATAAAATATAAATATCTTAGAAAATGATACAATTTGCAAACTTTTATATATAATAAATAATCGTTAAATTTTAAAAATTACTATTTTTAGAAAACAAATCACGGGACGAGTTAAGAAGTTACAGGACAGGTTATATTTCAGAATGAAGTTATATGGTGGACGAATTTGAATCAATATTTATAAAATTTTAAAATATCATTAACATGCCGCTTTAATACAGATTAAATCTTCAGTTTATTAAAATATAAATGTCTTAGGGAATGATATGATTTGTAAACTTTTATATATAATAAATAATCATTACATTTTAAAATAAAAACAAATCACGGAACGGGTTAAGAAATTATGGAACGGGTTATATTTCGGAACGGGTTTATATGGCGGACGAATTTGAATCAATATTTATAAATATCATTAACATGCCGTTTAATACGGGTTAAATCCTCAGTTTATTAACAATTTTCTCGTGGACTCGTGGTATACCGTTACTTAATAACAATTGTAAACTATAATATAAAAAATATTTTATAAAGAGATATAATTTCAAAATATTTAAATACTAACTTTAAATCGTGGACTCGTGGTATACCGTTACTTAATAACAATTGTAAACTATAATATAAAAAATATTTTAAAAAGAGATATAATTTCAAAATATTTAAATACTAACTTTAAAAATAAATCATCCCGCGGTGTATCGCGGGTTAAAATCTAGTATACATTAGAAATACAAGTTGTTCTATGAATGATATGTTCAATAGGATAAAACTAGTCTGGTCATCTTAACATTAAACCAAAAAAAAAAAAAAAAAACTATTCTGGTTTTACACGTAACCCATGAATTAACTCATAAATCCATTTTTGTCGAAATTCATTAAGTTTTTAACTCATCAGTCCATCAAAATTGATGGGTCGTATTGGACTGAATCAGCCCATGCATTTTTGACCAATTGTAAGTTGTAACATTTCTAAATCATAGCTATTCTGGAAAAGATTGCCTAATGTCACTGTACAAATAAATGGTGAACTTAGTACTCGACAATTTCCTCTAAAGTAATGTTATAATACTTCAAAGTTCAAAAGTAATCATTATTTTTCATGGCGAATCAACTCTTTGCCTCATCATCATCTCCCTTTTCGAAGAATATTTTCCGTTTGGGAAAGACAAGAATGTAATAATGAAAAATCTGAAAACTGTATAGATAATAAGTTTAGTTACTTAAAACAATGTTACTGGGATTCACTTCTAATTTTAGGGCACAAATCCAAAAATCGATGGAGATGAAACTTGAGTCACCCATTTCTTACTTTATCCTCTTCCTTTAGACCCTCGGATACCTCGACGCCTCGGTGATGGCAAAGACGGATATCGGGTGCCTCCTCGATATCTTCATCAGGCTGAGGCAAATTCCATTAAATTTGGTGATATTACATTTTGTAAACAACAAGGGTTAGAGAAGATGAGTCAATGAGAGATCACCTGTAGTAACTGAAGTAACTGCCAAAGCAAGTAATCGAGGATCATAACCATACAAAATAGCTTCCCTGCCCAAGCTCCACACGAGAGGAACCTACAAAAGATCAGATATTCATCGGTGTTGAAGAAACAAGGAGGGGGTGAGGTTTACATTAATCTATATAAGTAAGGATATAATGTACCGTGATAGACGTTCTAGAAGACTCCTATTTGAACACTTCAAGGCACGATCGTACACAATCTCGGTTCTTTTAGCAACATCTTGCCAACTGTAGAGCTTCTTCATCTAGTAGCAACAAGTAAAACAAGAAATCAAAGGCTTAAACAACAGACTCTTAACTCTTATAAGTAGACTGCAACGTTAGGCTTGGATTTGAAGCAGAACTCACTCGATTGTGCATCTCCTCGGGGTTGATACTTGGGAGTATTGATATTGCCTTCTCAATTGCTCTTACCATATCATCTGGATCTGGTTCAGCAAGTACAACCATGTCATCTGGTAGAACCTGCGAACCGTGAAGAGGACCTGATTTTATCAATCTTGAAGAAAGAAACAATGAGGATGAAGCGAAAGGGAAATGAAGGTATAATAGGAATTGTTACACGCCTCTGGGACACCTCCAACACGAGTGCTGACAGTTAATAATCCGCAACTAGCCGCCTCTAATATAGCTATGCAGAAGGCTTCTGTTAAAGAACTGTCAGAGGATCAAGACTATAGTAGCTTTAACTGATGAAAACTACTGTTGAGTTTTGTGAATTTTAAAAACAAAAACTGTAATAATCAGCACACCTGTTAAGGAAAATATGACCGGTCACCAAAACAGAGCGCACACGAGAATGCGGCACTGCACCCAGCATTTCAACTCTATCTTGGAGAGAATGCTTCTCTCTCATTTCCTCGAGTCGCACATGTTTAGGTCCATCCCCTCCAACTACAAAACGAACCTATCAAAAACCAAATAAAAAAAAATAGTAAATGCGGATACTAAAGAGAAATGACGGAATAATTGTGTTACTAATGTGAGCTGGGGGTTATAAACTCACATTCGGGTATAAACGGCATACTTCTGGAATGACTTCCACGAGCAAATCAGCACCTTTCCGATAAACCAATCTACTTATGACAACTATAGTGATGATATCAGTACTGGGTCGAACAGAAGCGGGCTTGAACATAGCAGTATCAACAGCATTTGGTATCATAAAAACCTTTGCTGGGGACAATCCAGACCTTAGAACAGTATTCTCCTTGCTCGTGTGTGAAACACAAATTGCCTGGTCTATATCTGCTAAACTAAACTGTAAAACCTTGTTCATATGGATACTCCCAACATCAGCAAAACCATACAAAGAATGATCTGTGAACACAACTTTATAGCCCATAGTCCTGGCATGCATTAAAGCTTCATGACAAAGCGTAGAAAAAGCTTGATGTCCATGAACCACCGTGATTTTCTCGCGTCTAAGTATAGTCCTCACAATGGGAAGTGTTCCATAAACTGTAGGAAATGTGGTCTGCATAACAAAAGGTCTCCAAGGAACATAATAGACTTTGAGTCCACCAGTCATGTATCGAACTCCAGAACGGTTCCCATAAGCATGTGTCATAACCACCACCTGCAACAAAGGTAACAATATCTCAAAACAATGCCCCAAAGAAGAGAAAGAATGAAAGTTTGGCCAAAGCTACATTACTTGATTACAGCTAGTGATGATAAAGCCTGTAACTTTGAATTTGGAACTAAATTCTGATCAATTCACAGCTATTGATGATAAAGCTTGAAACTTTGAATATGAAACTTGAATCTGATCACATCCTATTGAACTAGCATAAAAGGGTTTTAAGAATTTGATTTCTTTATAGCTAAAACCGCAAAAAGGTTAGAACTTTTTGATATAGAAGACACTGACCTTGTGACCGAGCTTTAACAAGCATTGAGAGAGGTAATAGATGTGATTCTCTACACCACCAAAGTTTGGGAAGAAGAAATCAGAGACCATTAAAACCCTGAGCTTTGGTGGTTCCGCCATAGATACACTTCTACAACAAAGCAACAAATCAGAACACAAATTAGAAAATTAGATGCTCTAATCGAAAAAGGTTACACATCTTACATCTCTAAAGAAGAGACGACGACTCACGGGAAAGAATCGCGGCGGAGCAAAGAGGCTGAGACCACCAGAACGAGGCTAATACCAAATCCATGTCATCATCCTCAATGAGAAATTTTAATGTATCCTGCAAAATATGATTTTTCTCAAACCAAGTACAAAAGCAATAAACTGAAACTAGCAAGGCCATTATCTTACTTATATAGAAAGACGTAAATTTACGTCACACAATCAAAAGGCCGTAAGTTTACTTCTCTGCCAAAGAAGCTACGAAAACTAAAATCACTAAACCCGTTTGTAACATTGTATGTCAAAATATTATTCTCTGCCACTAAACTCTAAAGAAACATCATGCATTCTCCACTAGTCAACCAAAAAGAGAGCATCTATATAAGAGAAACACCAAAAAGACCAGAAAAAAAGAGAGCATCCATATGGTTTCTCCACTCATTTAGAATCTCAAAAAACTACAACACAAAACTCTTAAGAAGATTTCTTCAAATCATTGAAATTTGAAAAGCAGCCTGAGAAACACTTACTAACAAAGATTCAGAATTTTCCTTTGATGGCATAAGCAAAGATTCAGGACCAGACACTGTTGCAATTACAATGCAGAGTGCTACTATACCACAAAGCGAACATAATTCAGATTTTGAACATCAAACAAGACTACCACTAGTAAATCCAAAGCTCAGCTGAACACAACAAGCAAACAAGAAAAGTCATAACCAGAAAACCAAACCAATGTTCTTCCAGAAACGATTTCTTCGAGCTGAAACACACCATTAAACCCCGATCATATAAATCACAGAATCAGATTCGAATAAAATGTGAATCTATCAATAGAGAAAATCGATGCCTACTTGTTGTTTCCTCGCGGATTGCTCTCTTATGGCTTCAGATTTTTTTCCGAAGAAGAGATCAAAGAAGAAAGATGGAAGAAGAAGGAAAGAGCCTTTGGGAGAAAAGAAAAAATGTTAAACGACAGCGTTTACAAAAAAAAAGAAAAAACAAAATTTAGTGTAATTGGGCCAGAATTTATATTTATTTTAAAGGATCCGGGCCGGTCCTAAATGTTTAGCCCATTTTAACATTCACTTATGCTTAAAACTTAAAAGATACTATAAAACAAAGAAAAGTTTCAGACCCAAAAATGAAAACTGCAGCTTAAACACATAAAACCCAACAATCATATCCATCATTTACCCACTAATCATTAACACGAAATTTGTATATCAACATACAAAAATCAAGCTTGGCGATTCCTAAAAGCAAAGAAACAAAATCAAGGATACAAGAACAAACCAGTAGCCGCAACGATTCGTCTTCGCCGGAAATATGTCGAGCTCGCCTCGAAGCTTCTTCTTTGTCGGGAATCAAACGGAGAGAGTAAAAAAAGCTTAGCTTGGATCCATGGCAATTCGGTTTTGGGGATCAAGGGTTATGAAATGTGAGAAAAAAAAAAAGTGTCGATTATTACTAGGTACAATGTGTAATTCATTAGTTTACATAGGAGTGTTTTAGTAATTTTCAAATTTTGGCTAAGTCTGATGCATCTGAATAAAATAAATTTGTTCTTCATCGTTTTTTGTAGTCCAGTTTAGGTTGAAATTCTTCATAAATGGAAGTATTACAAATGTAAATTATTAGACTTTTGAACCAAACAATTAGAACTTGATCATTGGCTAACTCTTTGCCAGCAACCAGGAATATTCTGATATGTCTTAAAAACACTTTTAACATAGTTATTTACTGTATTACATGACCAAATAAATTACCTAAAGGTTCCTACTCTAATGTATACACATAACCTTTAAAATTTTATATATGCAAGGCCTGACTAGTCTAAGGTTGCGGCTGCGGGAGTTTGCGGAAATAGGCGGTTGCAGTTTCAAGCGTTGTTAAGTTTTTTGATCCACTGGTTTAGCGGTTGAAAACGGGTGCGTTTGCGAGAGATTTACGACTGGTTGGTCAGTGGGTACGATAGCGGTTAAACCAAAATTTACCAAAAAAAATGTATTCTATTATTGTGAAAAGGTATAATCAGTTACTGGTTGAATCAATTACGTTGTGTTTGAAACTCTTAAATTTTTGTATATAATATATTGAGTATATAATAGATTTTAGGGTTTTGTGCAAATAAACTCTCAAAGTCGCCAATTTTTCAACTTTAACATTCATCTCAATGCAGAATAATCCTATGAACTCTAAAATAATAGGTAATATAGCTCTTTTTCGTTATTGTCAAGTTTTAAAATGATAAATAATATATCAAATCGAAGTCCTCGAGACGAGGAGTTCAACTCTACTTTTATAATTTTAAAAATAAAATGTATGTGATCGTGAAAATATTTACAATATATACATAAGGACTATATTGCCTATTATTTTGGATTTCATATGATTATTCTGCATTTTTTTGGAGGTAAAAAGTTATAAAAATTAGCGAGTTTGAGGGTTTTTTGCACAAAACCTTATATTTTATGTTGTTCGTGTTTCTTTTAATTTTGAAGAAAATTAATATCACTATACGCTTGAAGAACATAAGTGAAATGATTTTCATATGAGTTAATTCAATATTGATAATTCAGAGTTACCCGTTGCATATGAATTTGTTCAACATTGATGATTCGTGTTGGTATTAGCCTATTAGGTAACATGTGCTATGTGTAGGGCGATTGTTTTTTGAATCTAACCTGCATATTTTATTGGAAATATTCTTTTTGGTTCTAACCCTTACAATATTATTTGGTTTAATATTATGGCCCTGAATGTTTGTTAGTTTTTTATTAGTTTTTAGATTCTAGTTTTTAGATTTTGGTTTTTGGTTTTTGATTTTTGTGGTTTTTGATTTTTGGTGTAGATTTTAGTTTTTGCAAAATCTTGAATGGTAATTTGTTTAGTTTTTAACTTTTCTACATAGAATAGGGTTTTAGTTTTAAATGAATTGGTAAATGGTAAAAAAAACATATTTAAAATAATAAAAAAGAATTAAAATTTTTTTTGACGTGAACTGTTTGGAAAAACCCACAAAACTTGGTTTTTGGATTCTATGAAGAAAATCCAAAATCTCCTAAAATCTGGTTTCCCTATTTTTTAGGAAATCTACTTTTTGTAGAATCATGAATGTGTAATTATTGGATTTTTGCACAATCATAATCCGAAAACTACTCCAAAAACTGCAGCCATTCAAGGCCTATCTCACCCGTTAATATTAATTAGTCTAAACGGGAACTCCTTCCACATCAGAAATAGTTACATATCACAACAAAACATTTTTTTTTTTGTCAGCCCAACAAAACATATTAGTTTAGGCGTTATTTAGAACAAATATTGTTTATTTAGCGCAAACTTATCTTTAAAAAAAAAAAAACTTGCTAATTTGGTAGAAATAAAATAAAAAAAACAACTTATACACATTTCTACCACGTCTCAAACACAGAAATCAGATTACTTGAATTTACACAAAGTTAATTAGCGGCAGTTATTTATATACTATTATTCAATTATTAGGTACAAAAAAAACAAAAACAAAAACAAAGCGTCTAGAAGACAAATAATTACATTCAAAATAAATAATAAATAAAACTATTTTCATCTCAATAAACCATCTTCAAGATTTTACTAATGGTTATGTATGGAGTATATATTGCTTCCACAATCTAATCACTTTAGCTTTGATATATATATATATATATTTTTTGTCAAAGTAACTTATATTAATTGAAAAGATCATTGTACAAATCGTTAACAATCCAAGAAAGAGGATTAGTACTATCAGAATAAAAAATGGATCTTAGGCTACCATATTGAGTCATACTATGAGCTACTTTATCACAACAACGGTTGATATATGCAAAACGTATTCCTCGAAACTTTGTTGCCCAGAATTTGTTGTCGAGAAGGAGACCTTCAAGAGATACATCGGATAGACCATTGTTCATGTTATTTATTAGGATTTCATAGTATCTTTCAAAATGAGCGTTCGCGAACCCCTGACTCCAAGTCTGTTGTATTGATGATAGTAGAGTTTTCGCTTCTGCTTCTACTAGTGATCCGATGGTAAAAAATTGGATGATCCCCAAGCCTTCGTAGTTCCATCGTGATCTCGATAACCCATCCGCCATGAGTTTGGTTTGTTTGTATATTGAACTTTGCATCAAAGTTGCATTTGATATATAATCCAAAGATTTTTGAAACGTTTCAAATCTGCTACAGTGTTGAGAGATGTCTTGGCTATATAATTACATTTAGAAGTGTTTATGAATGAAGAACGATGGATATTAAATCATAAACTATATATTTATCTTCATTTATGGTTACAAAATATATTGGTTAAATCTTTTAAAAAATCTTGCATATCTTGTGTTTCGAAGGAGTATACGCAAATAAACTCTTTAAAATATCATTTCTATATCAATTTAATTAGTTTAAAATTATTTCTATAAATTTCACATCTCTAAAATATTAATACAATACTAGATTTTAACCCGCGGTACACCGCGGGATGATTTAATTTTAAAATTAGTATAAAAATATTTTGTAAATTGTATCTCCTTATAACATATTTATTTATATTATAGTTTACAATTGTTATTAAGTAACGGTATACCACGAGTCCACGAGATAATTATTAATAAACTGAGGATTTAACCCGTATTAAAGCGGTATATAAATATTGATTCAAATTCGTCCGCCATATAAATTATTTCCGAAATATAACCCGTTCCGTAATTTCTTAACCCGTCCTGTGATTTGTATTAAAAAAAAAAGGATTAAATCCATACTGAAGCGGCGGATTAATGATATTTTAATCTTTTTATTATTGTTGATTCAAAAACCCGTCCCGCCAAACCCATCCCGCCAAAAAACTCATTTATTTTATTAATGTTCTTATTTATGATATGATTCTGAATCATTGTCTAAATATTTTAATCGATGTAGAACGTTGAACACACATTTTCGTCAATTGGATAATATATGTCCGTTTTTAAAATTTCGAATCACAGTATATGCAGAAAAAAAAATTGAATTTTTTTTTTACTTTATGTATTATATGATGATTCAAAACAGTTAAAAACAAATCAAACAAAGATGATAGGAGAATCATAATTATAAATCTTAATCAAATCTTCTAAAAATCTAAATTATTAAATATGGAATATCCGGTGTA